CACACTAGAACCTTTAGTGTGGTCACAGGGACAGATGAGCCACACACTAGAACCTTCAGTGTGGTCACAGGGACAGATGAGCCACACACTAGAACCTTCAGTGTGGTCACAGGGACAGATGAGCCACACACTAGAACCTTCAGTGTGGTCACAGGGACAGATGAGCCACACACTAGAACCTTCAGTGTGGTCACAGGGACAGATGAGCCACACACTAGAACCTTCAGTGTGGTCACAGGGACAGGGGAGCCACACACTAGAACCTTCAGTGTGGTCACAGGGACAGATGAGCCACACGCTAGAACCTTCAGTGTGGTCACAGGGACAGGGGAGCCACACGCTAGAACCTTCAGTGTGGTCACAGGGACAGATGAGCCACACGCTAGAACCTTCAGTGTGGTCACAGGGACAGGTGAGCCACACACTAGAACCTTCAGTGTGGCCACAGGGACAGGGGAGCCACACACTAGAACCTTCAGTGTGGTCACAGGGACAGATGAGCCACACACTAGAACCTTCAGTGTGGTCACAGGGACAGGTGAGCCACACACTAGAACCTTCAGTGTGGTCACAGGGACAGGTGAGCCACACACTAGAACCTTCAGTGTGGTCACAGGGACAGGTGAGCCACACACTAGAACCTTCAGTGTGGTCACAGGGACTGGGGAGCCACACACTAGAACCTTCAGTGTGGTCACAGGGACAGATGAGCCACACACTAGAACCTTCAGTGTGGTCACAGGGACAGATGAGCCACACACTAGAACCTTCAGTGTGGTCACAGGGACAGGGGAGCCACACACTAGAACCTTCAGTGTGGTCACAGGGACAGGGGAGCCACACACTAGAACCTTCAGTGTGGTCACAGGGACTGGGGAGCCACACACTAGAACCTTCAGTGTGGTCACAGGGACTGGGGAGCCACACACTAGAACCTTCAGTGTGGTCACAGGGACTGGGGAGCCACACACTAGAACCTTCAGTGTGGTCACAGGGACAGATGAGCCACACACTAGAACCTTCAGTGTGGTCCACAGGGACAGGGGAGCCACACACTAGAACCTTCAGTGTGGTCACAGGGACAGGGGAGCCACACACTAGAACCTTCAGTGTGGTCACAGGGACAGGGGAGCCACACACTAGAACCTTCAGTCTGGTCACAGGGACAGGTGAGCCACACACTAGAACCTTCAGTGTGGTCACAGGGACAGGTGAGCCACACACTAGAACCTTCAGTGTGGTCACAGGGACAGGTGAGCCACACACTAGAACCTTCAGTGTGGTCACAGGGACAGATGAGCCACACACTAGAACCTTCAGTGTGGTCACAGGGACAGGGGAGCCACACACTAGAACCTTCAGTGTGGTCACAGGGACAGATGAGCCACACACTAGAACCTTCAGTGTGGTCACAGGGACAGGGGAGCCACACACTAGAACCTTCAGTGTGGTCACAGGGACAGGGGAGCCACACACTAGAACCTTCAGTGTGGTCACAGGGACTGGGGAGCCACACACTAGAACCTTCAGTGTGGTCACAGGGACTGGGGAGCCACACACTAGAACCTTCAGTGTGGTCACAGGGACTGGGGAGCCACACACTAGAACCTTCAGTGTGGTCACAGGGACAGATGAGCCACACACTAGAACCTTCAGTGTGGTCACAGGGACAGGGGAGCCACACACTAGAACCTTCAGTGTGGTCACAGGGACAGGGGAGCCACACACTAGAACCTTCAGTGTGGTCACAGGGACAGGGGAGCCACACACTAGAACCTTCAGTCTGGTCACAGGGACAGGTGAGCCACACACTAGAACCTTCAGTGTGGTCACAGGGACAGGTGAGCCACACACTAGAACCTTCAGTGTGGTCACAGGGACAGGTGAGCCACACACTAGAACCTTCAGTGTGGTCACAGGGACAGATGAGCCACACACTAGAACCTTCAGTGTGGTCACAGGGACAGATGAGCCACACACTAGAACCTTCAGTGTGGTCACAGGGACAGGTGAGCCACACACTAGAACCTTCAGTGTGGTCACAGGGACAGATGAGCCACACACTAGAACCTTCAGTGTGGTCACAGGGACAGGGGAGCCACACACTAGAACCTCACATCTGAGAATGTTCAAACATACAAACATTCAGACACACATCAAAACAAACCACACACCTCACAGTGTATATAAACTACAGAGATACACACGCACTTCCGGGTGTATATCCAATGTATATATGCATAACACTCAGCGTATATACCCTCAGACTGCCGTGTATGCGTGTGTTGGAGGGATGTAGCGAGTTGGAGACAAACTATCCTATATTTATTTCAAAGCCAGAGGTAATTTTGGAGACCAGAAGCGACTAGAGGAGACCAGAGGAGACCAGGGAAGACCAGGGGAGACCAGGGGAGACCAGAGGTGACCAGAGGCGACCAGAGGAGAGACCAGAGGAGACCAGAGGCGACCTGGGAGACAGGGAGTGTTCTGCACACCTTAGCAGTAATTACCACAAGATCTCCGCTGCTCCGCGACTGTATGAACACACCCTAGTGGCAAGTTCTGCTTAATGTTCTCATATTATGATGAACGTTCTTCACGTTCCCACCTCTCTAATCGTTCTAACAGCGAAAAAACATCTTAACGTGTTAATTTAAGGAAGAGGTAAACACAGCAGAAGTAGTGTAGGCTCGATCCTACGTTCACTAACAGTGTCCTGGTCTCAAGAACCGAACCGAATGCCCCGATAATTTTGCTTTACTCCAGCGAGAGAATTATTAAAACTGTTGTATAAATGAAAGGTGCTAAATAGCAGTGTTAAAATGAACTTTTAATAACAGGTAAAAACCACAGTAGTGACATGAAGTTGTAGCAAATAAAACCAGCGTTAAGAGATTAAGTTAGGTTCGTCAGGAAACGGGTCAAGTGTCTCCTGACGCGGGTCTTAGTCAGATGATGACCCGACGTTGGAGCTTTTGGTCATCTGACCGAGACCATAGATATTGTCTGTGATAAGATAAGATTTCGTTCGGATTTTTAACCCCGGAGGATTAGCCACCCAGGATAACCCAAGAAAGTCAGTGCGTCATCGAGGACTGTCTAACTTATTTCCATTGGGGTCCTTAATCTTGTCCCCCAGGATGCGACCCACACCAGTCGACTAACACCCAGGTACCTATTTGCTGCTAGGTGAACAGGACAATAGGTGTAAGGAAACGTGTCGAATTTCCACCCGCTGGGAATCGAAACCCCGGCC